TGAAAGATCCACATACGGCTAAATCTATACGATACTTATGTTCATCATGATTATCGCCAAGAGAATCAGATCACATTCTCTTGCTGTCACACCAAATGAAAACTCCAATACATATTGTAAAATTGTCTCTGCGATAGCTTTCATATGCGGCGGCTTTCCAGCGCAGTCGGTGTCTTAAGTGGCATTTGTTTTGGTATCTGAAGGGTCATGTTCAATCGTTTTCGAGTGATTTTACCTCATCAAGGTGGAAAAATGAAGTTTTCATGTAATGTAGAAAGAAAATCTACCTTTCAAGGATTTTTCTTTCGCAAGTATTATCTTGTAAAACAAGAAAGATTAGATTAGAGAACTTAGTCAAGGTATTTGATAAATCGTGGCTTACTCGTTTCAAAACAGCTCTTACGGAGAGACTCTTTGTAATGTGCTCGTGTGCCCTTTTTCAATTAAAATTACACAGTCACATAGGTACAATTCGTTGAATACAATCTAATCAAAGTCTTTCTGTTCATTTTCTAATCAATTGCAAAAAGTTGATAAAGAAATGTTAAGCGCAAATAAAGTTAGACTTCCACGCATGACAACCTCATATTAACTAAGTTTATATGATCTCACGATCACAAAAGTCCCAGATGTGACAAGGAATTTGCACCACTTTCTGCACGAGGGAGGTGACACCACATTACGCTACACATGGCAAATCTCCTAACATTATCGAAAAGTATTTATAACTCACAACAATCACTATTTTCGCCTTTAACATGTCATAACACATAAGAGGAAGTGGATACTTATTGAACTGAATCTTTGTATTTTAACCGTTTTCCGAACCATTTCTATTAATTGGTTCCCTTTTCTCACAATGTCTCAGTACAGGCACGGTAATTCTAATTACCTAGTTAGGATACAGAACAAATCATATCGTTGAGATACTTATTACACATCTACATCACCAGCAATTAAAAGAATTGGCTTAATCTTGGTTTAGCTGCAGAGACGTATTTTAAATTCAAAAGCTGCGATTTAACACCATGATAACAAGAGGTTAAAGACATTTTATCTAGAACTTAGATTCTCGGCTTGCATTTTTAGTCGCTTATCACAACAAGAATAATGAAAGAAATTGGATTTATCTTCCACATCGAATTAATTTCATCTCCCTCTACAAACTCGACTGCGACCCTCGATAGCCAGTACATATTTTGAACATTTGTTTAGCATTTGTCGATTGAGCGACATTTGAAGACTCTCATACCAATAACCAATTTGTTCACGAGGGAGAATGTCCAACCAATCAATACGTATTTTCTCTCTTTTTTTTCTTTTTTCATTTCCGACTTTGACGCAGCAGAGCCTTGGCAATAGAACTTCTCATAACTGGTGTGGCTAATTAAATGAAGTTTGGGTTGAAAGTTTCTTTGTCTTCAAGTTATTAAATGAGTGATGTTTTATGTAACTATTACTCTCTAAAAAATTTCTTACTAAATTAGATTGGCATCTCATAGGAAAAGGTTAAACGGGTACACGTTAATTAATTGAGGCTCGAGGATGTGTTTTGAACAGAATGCGTCGTCTGTGAGTGGACGGAAAATCATCTTTTTTCATAGTACTTTAAGAATCCGTTCTGGTGGTCTGCACATAAGAACCTGTTCCGCTTACGAGAGATGTATCACATAGGAAAAATGAGGTCAAAACAGTGTAGCCCACCAAACTAATGATGACCAAGCAAAGAAAAAATTCAAGCATTCCACGCAATTCGAGAACCTTTTTTGATTGGGGAGGATAAAATCATCGCAGCTTGATGCTACTGGGCCAAAATACGCCTCCTAAAGTTAGCACCTTTGCTAGTTGAGTCTTAATCTGTATTCTGTGATTAGATTAAAATCCAGCAGGAAAGGCGCCATCTTCCACGTACCACGATAGGGTAGAAAGACTTAAGGTTATCTAGACAGGAACACTTTAATTATGCAAGGACTTCGACATGGCCCTGCCCTAATCCTTCTTAAAGGTCTCCTATGGAATTTTCATTATCTGGTCTACAATTTGCCAAATAAACGCATTTTGGCTGTATCAGTATATCGGCGGGTATATCCCACTGGTAAATAAGGCTTTGCAAGCTTTCCTGTTATTCACAAATTTTTCGTTTTTCCTTCCGATTTCTATACATACGCGTCCACCGCTTCTTTGCCAATTTTAAGTAATTTCCGTTGTGGTTAACGTCTCGGAGTAATTTTCCTAAACATTTACGAATTCCAGAGTATAATTCTATGTATAATCTTAGTGACATGTTTAATTCCTCTAGAAAAAAACGAAAAAGAATACAAAAAAGTATAAAAACAAAAGTAAATAGAAAAAAATAATAGAAAAAACAACAAGTTTCCAGAGATAGAACACAGCAGTTATCACAACATGAGCGTGGGCCGCGACATTCATCCATAATAATTATAAAGACAAAGTTCACAGTTGTTTATCTACAGGACTATACCATAAGGCTTTGCACGTTACAACAATACAATAAGGCAGGATTTACAAAGAGCGAATAAAACACGTGCATGGGAGAAGTGCATGCTATTTCTGTTCCTTCCTGCTTGACCCATAGCGGAAAAAAGGAGAGGCACATGCGATTTTTTCCGTTATATTCTGTCGCCTATCATTACACTAGGCCAGAAAATGAAGCTGAAGAATATGAAGAAGATTTTCTCCATAATATGAAAAATGTCATCCGCGCCGTGAACCGCGAACTGATAACGTCTGACTGTTGTGATTACATCATCGATAGCTGGCGTCCATTGAGCAGTTAAAAGAAAAGCGACAATAGTTGACGCAGATTACGCAGACGTGTACACGCAGGCAGGAAAGTACAGAGCCAACGATATAGGAACGCTTGGAAATACTCACGGATAAAGGATACTACGAGAAGGAGTTTGCTTTGGCCATTTAGAGGTGAAGTAAGTGCGTATTAGACTAAAACAAAGCTCGTGAAATGGTGTACCGAGGTTTAGACTTCGACAGCAAAATTAACGCCCGTTTTGAAAAGCTAGCTTGGAGAGAAACACACATCTTTTGATTTATTTTCCCTGTTCGTCATTTATAGTACGTTTAGAAGGACAGAGCAATGCCGTTTAGGTGACAAATATGTTCCTTGTTTTTGACGCTGATTGGTCGTGTGTGAATAAGCAACCTTTGATTAGTATTAAGAAATTGCATCGAGTCCGCGCGCAAATTTAGTCTCGGCCTTTCCACAACGTGAATATACATAAAGAAAAGGGTCGTAGCTAACAAGAAAAAAAAATGATCAGCCTTACTCTTTGTCACTAATCTTCGTCTTCGGCGTGTGTGGTTTGTATTAATAAGCAGACTTGAAAAAATATTTGATTTTTGGGCGCGTATGTTTCACCTCAGTTTCAGACAAAAATCAAACGTAGGATTTTTACGAAAGTGAACAAAAAACGCTTTTGCACAAAGATGACTTGACGTAAGTGTCTGTTTGGTCCGTGTGCGTGATCAACATAACTACAGAGTTGGAACATGCAATCATCTTCGCCGGAAATACCACTTCTGCTTATAAGTCGACAGAGAGAGAATCTCCTTGGGTACAAATCCGGAAAGTTGAAAGCAGCTTTTATCCAGGAGGGGGGGGGGGATAAGAAGAGAGATGAATGTCGACAGTTTTGAAAGAAATTCTAAAAGATATCAATATGGGTGTGGCATCAACCAATGTAAAAGGTGTAGAAGATGGTAGATGTAGGTTTGATCAAGTAAAATAATTCTCCTGTATTTTGTTAATATAAAGAGAGAAATACAAATTACTACCCGCATTAACAAACTAGAGAATCTACGAAGATCACCCCTTGCTTTCTGTGGTGGAGACCCCCGGGATTTAGATTTCAGACGTTGTACCGCTATCAGAGTTAATCGGATAATTGCTTGAACAAATGCTGGTGCAAGTAATAAATCTCAAAAAAATGCACTGATATCTCATAATAACATCTTCCCTAATTCGACCATTATTTCTCAGTTTTTGGCTAGGAGACGACTAGGAGATCTGAAAATTCATAATCTGCCCTTGGTGACACAAGCGAACGGGATTTTAACTTTTAAAGATAAACGGTCACATTATCGTCAGCAAAATTTTAAAAGGCTCCTCGACATTGTCGCATCATTTTCGCCTCTTCACTTTGCCGAGTTTAATTAATGTAAGAGCGAGGTCAGCAGTGACTTAAATACTGTCTAAGCTTCTGTTTCGCGGTGATTTCGCAAATACAAGAGCAGCGAAAAACTCTAGTGCTCACAAGTAGACCTTGTCAAAGAGGAATGGTTGAAACACCTTATGCGCACATGTTAAAGTTAAATTGTATCAAAAAATCTGTCTCCTTGCCGATGGAAACGTAAAATAAACTGTTGAGTGCAAACAGAGATAACGTTCTTATTAACGACAATTTTCTCGCGCTATCAGTTATCAGACTTGAATGTAGACAACTGTCTTACTGCAGATTAATACTCGTGTTTCATTACCAATCGCTTTTAAAGAGTTAGTAATCAATCGTTGGGTGGAAGATTGTACTTTTATCTGCTTCTAAAGGGGAAATACCTTTCCAATTAACTTTCCTTTGGCCTGCACCGTTTCGTGCGGTAAGAAGAGTGCCACAGTAAAAATAAAGTCCCTTTGTGAAAGGGCCAGAGTCCAATTAACCAATTTCGATAACGTGATTACGACTAAATCAACGAGTCTAATAACATCCCACATCCGCTTAAAATATTTTTTTTGTTTGTTAAAAAGCTCGTCTCCCTTAACTCCGACTGTGAAATCACTGTCGAAATATTGGTTTACAAAACCTCCTCTTTCACTGGCCTCTTCATCCGCAGTAAATAAACCTCTTCTCATGCGTATGCTGCGCTCACGTAAATTACGCAGCCGTTAAGCTCTGAATCTGAAAAGTGATCATCAGTGCAAAGGAGAAGTTTCTTACTCTGTATTGTAAGTAATGCCAAAAAAAAAATCAAAGAAACAAATTAATACATATGACCTGAAAAAATTTACGGTGACCTCAATGAAGCTATGAGAGAACGGAAAGTAACAGGATTTAGCGACATATTAGCGACCACTAAAACGGGAAGACAACTGGTTTTGTTGAGTACCAAAGAAAGTTATTCCCGCGTTTATGGCACCCACGAGTTTCATGAAAAGAAGACGTTTCCAAAAACAGACAATGTCACGTCCTGTATGTCATGTATGGAAATTTAATAACCTCATTTCAAAAATTAATCAATCTGTGTTAAGTTCTTTCCACGCCTATCAACATCACCAGCATGCCGACATCCGGAATCTGATATCTGTGGTGTGTACCTCTTTGTCTTGCAAGTTCCTCGATGATTTGAGATCTTCCGCAAATAGTGAAGTGGCCTCCTACACCATGTTCTTTCTCATGCAAATGCAGGAAACCAAACACTCACCCACCATCACCAACTGCTTACAGATATATCGCTTAAAACCACCATCACCAACTGCTTACAGATATATCGCTTAAAACCATAGAAAATCGTTTTCTGTTAGCCTGTTATGATTAAGTATCATACTGTACACATGCTGTCTTTCACTCTGCTCGGTTACCATGAGGTGAATTGTCTAATTTCCTATGATAAGTAGCAGTCATTTGACGTCTTGTCAGACGATGTAGATCAGTGGTATGTATGACAAAACCACAATGGGACAAAAAGAGGTTGTTGCACGAATTCTTTCACGGAGCTGTGTCACGTCTGCGAAAAATGTCTTACACCGGAGTGAAACTGTTAAATCATACTCTTTGAAAGAGGATAAACACCCAAGAGGTAAGAAAAATTCAAACATAAAAAAAAAAATAGACTAGGATGAATTTTCAAAAAGGTTCAAAGATTCTGAATGAATCATCGAAAACGTCCAAAGATCCGTGAAGTCACTCTTAGCACCAGCTAGATCGGTTTAAGTGGTAACCAAGGTAGCGTCAGGCTCAATATCTCGATGCATATCACTTTAAATTGACCACTTGTATGTAAATGTTTTCACTACAACATAACGAAACTTTTCCTAAATTTCGTGTGACAGAGATTTAACTTTCATCCCTCTGAACAAGTCGCTCTTTTGGCAACATGTAAGGAGGCATAAGCCAGTGCTCATAAATAACTCAACAGTCGTGTTTCATAACACTTAGTTCGGGCGTTGTCTATTAATATTATTTCATACATCCTTAAACCTCTTTTGATCCAATTTTAATGCATCAAGTACGAATCAACAAATAGATCCTATGTTACCGAGGATCCCTTGTTCAGAAATAGATTACAGATGACGTCAAAATGTCGTAAGAACAAAAAGTGATGCGGAAGACGCAGCCGAGTGTGTCATTGATTTTCTTACCTTTTGGTGATCTATTTCTGAACAGATCCACGGCAACATGGAAACTATTACTTCATATGTGTTAAAACAGCAAAATGTTGTTAATGGTGATCTCATCTGCGCGTCTGTCCTCCAATGAACATGCGTAAAAACCAATCAAAATGTGTAAGATTCAGTTTATCATAATATGGAAATAGTTCACCTTTCCCATCGAGGAAGTACATTGACATGGATATAATCGTTAAGATTCATCAAAAAAGATCATACTGCTGGCCACAGTATTTTAAACACGACCTTTTCGGGAAGAGTATTCAGTCTTAACGGCAGGAGAAGTCCTTGGGTAACTGGGGGTAAAATTTTTCAATCTAAGTCAGGTTGACATTGCAGAAAGTAGCTGGGTTTTGTTTCGAGGTCTGACAGTGTCCAAAAGGTGCACGTTTCTTTGCAAAGTACCATTTTAGAACCTGATTTTAAACGTCATTGGCTTAGTTAACTGGCTTCATCAAAACATTCTCTCGGTATTTCCGCCATTCCGTCCATTTTCTAAAACCTTGAGTGCTGGAAAAAATGTAAAAGCCCTGGAGTAAGATTTGTGGATACCTTTTTCCGTTCGCTTGCAAATTTACTTTGAGGGAAAAAACTAATAATAACACTCTGGGAGCTTCCTTTCTATTCATCCCTATTGAATTGTTTCCAAACCACGCAAATTCGCCGTAATTGCAGTCTTGCAGCAATAAGAAATTATGAAACAGTTTTATATCTTCCGAACCAAACAGCATAATGGGGCCAGGACGGTCTGTGGCACTGAATTTACACCTGCTCTATATCAAGTAATTGGAAAATATGAATATGCCAAACTAATTTAGCGACTTTAAGCCGGAGGAAGCCATAAATTCAATCATGCGACAAGATGACGTCCTGAAACAACTGAAACTTGCGTCCTTTTTGTGGTAAATGAAGTGAAAACAAATCCAACATATTTATTTTATTGAAGTCTTTCTCTGCTATTCTTACATAAACTAAAATATGTTGTCACAATGGTGTATTTCTAAATACCGTTGAGGATGAGAAATTCCCAATCTGTGAGTGAATACTAACACAAACATTTAGACACTGTTATGACTGCCAAGGTTTTAATCGCTTGAGGGTTTCCACTGACTGTGAAGTGCTTTCGGCTGTTGTCATGAAAGCGTTTCAGCACCAGCCAATCAGGTGAAACACAATAAGAGATAATTTGCGTTATGCCTTACTTCATTTCAAATTAACACCAATGGCGAAGTTTTAATTTCACATCTTTGCTTATTGTTTCTTCTCTAAGACTTGGTGAATTTCTATTACCATTATTGTGAAAAGTCGAGAGAAGGTATGTGTTTTCTATTCTGGAGGGAAAATTTCTCATCCATGTAATTGCTTTTGACAGCTTGCCATTATAAGTTGCGTTTTGTTTTCCATCGAAGTTCTGTATTCCACCCATCAATTGCAGCTGCAATCGACAAGTTTCGTAAAATTGAAGTGAGATCATCTTTTGCACTTTTCCAAACTGATTTTAGAGCTAACTAATCTGTCGTCCTACAGTTATTTCGCGGTCACATTTTCTGTAAACTAGAATCGGCGTTCGTGGATGAAGTTTGTTATGTCTTATATTTTACACATTTGTTTACCAAAAGCCTTGACTTTTAAGGCGGTGCAATGACAAAATAGCTATAAAATTGCAATAGATCGTAATTAAACTTTGATCGGATATAATTGTTAGAATTAAATACGAAGCGAGCCATAGTGTTTCGTTGTGTTATCACGGATTCATAGAATAGTTTGAAGTCAAGTGATTTCGGAAATGAAAAGATATTTTTTACTGTTTAAAACAGTTACTCCGGATAAAAGTTTTAAACAGGACCGACAGACACCAGTTATTATACACAGGATGGGGCACAAAGTATAAATTCAACGATGGTTCATGGTTTGATCGAATTTTATTTAATTTTGATGTGCTTGATGAATTGAACCAATAGCCATCTAGAGAATGACAGGTTATTTTTGGTGTTGTTACCATGCAACCCCTTAAAAACTGCAATGTGATCAGTATAGCAGACCAAAACTTTTAAAATAACAAATTTGCAGAGAAAAAAAATAGTAATTCTATATTTTAAAGCATTCTTCATGGAATCATCTTTGTCGCGATGGCTACCTAAAAGTTGACACATATCTGGTATCAATCAGGTAATCCTACTGAGGTATTTATTATGAGGAGAGCCGCTGGCAAAATATATTTGTTCAACACAAGCTGTGAACATAGACCAAATTCTTCGCTGCGTGCATAGGGCGCTCACTGATGTACACTATAATATTCGTTTAAAACTGACACCTGTACAACGTGTTTTTGCATAAACTATTGAACCTGCTGAGATGATGGTGGAAACAAATAATTGATACTAATTCAAAACACTTTGAAAATCCCTCATAGTCAATAATTTGAGTCGTAAAGCATTATTCGTCTCTCAGCTGGGTAACAAGGTTACTCTTAAATCTTAAACTTATCCCCTTCAAATTTTCTTTCTTGTTTATTTACTTGTTTCAAATTCGTTGTCACTAACATCAAACTAGACTGAGGAGAAAATTGACTTAGAAGTACATAAATATGAAGCAACATGTCTCTGATTATGAATTAACCAATCAAACCATTTATATCATTCATTAGTCGTTTAAGTGGGAGAATAAGTCAACTAGTTGGTTTAAAAAAAATAGAAAAAAAAGAAGAAAAAAAGAAAAAAAAAAGAAAAATTGATATAAAACATGAAAACAATATAAAGCATGAACATAAAACAAAACCAAACACATAACAATACGAAGAAAGAAAATAAACTAAAAACTAGAAATTAATTTGTTGACAAAAGAAGTGAAAAAGATAGTTCCAAAAAGCATATCTAGTATATCTTCAACCTGACAGTTGTAGAAAAACGAGCTTGCAGCACTGAACTAAGGTAAGAAGCAGTGGGTCACCTTACGTGTACTGGCGGGCCTGCCCGTAATTGAGAGCGTGCCACTTTCACAATCCGCTTCAAATAATTGTACACACCGGAACTTCTTCCCACGAATGAGTTAATTTTTGGTTCTGTTGCGTCGGAATACCAAATAATTGCGAAATAATTTGCGTCACACGACTCATTTCCTTTGTACTGTTGCTTTACCAAAAAAATATTAATAAATGAGTGGGCTGAAACTTTCACTGTTTCATGGTTTCGGCCGAAGATGTAATTTCAAGTTTTCTAGACAAATGACGATGACGAATCCTTGCTAACTTGATGTCAAATTCGCCAGAGGAGTAAAGTTCATGCGTACACACTGCGGTAAGGAAAATGATCTCGTAGCATGAACAAATTTTATTCTCCCACCACGCTAAATTTAAATATTTATTGGACAACAAAGACGAATAACTTGTTTAATCTTACTAAAAGCACTCCTACTACTTTGTTTAATTTTTGTTAAAACGTGGTTTTAGGGATTTAAGAAAGGGTTTAAGAAGGATTTTATAGAACCAACGTCATCGAATCCTTTTTCCATTTTACTCAGACAAAGCATGAACTTCACCTCGATGTCTTTTCATAAAACATTTCCCACGACAACTGAAGTACATAATAGGAATCCAAGAAAACAAAATTAGCAGCAGCAAAGAAAACGGCTGATATGATCAGTTCGAGACCTCTGAAAATGCATGAAAAAAAAAAGCACCACGATGATCATTTCAGAAAACTACCTGCTTTAAAATATTAACACTGACTCCCACAAGTGACCAAAAAGCAATTACACCTTGGATTATCAAAATATGGTCTGGTAAGTAGGCGAAAAAATTGAGAACATTATACACAAGGGAAAACTGTTCCGTTTCAAACCGCACTCTCAAAATTAAGATTTTAAGTCCGTCTTCGCATAGCAGTGTATGCTATCTTGGAAAGTGAAACGTTTAGCTAAGACGACAGTTCTGATGTATCATGTTTTCCAATATTCCTTCCGTTCAAATTATCATTTTGACTCTCATATCGTATTACTACATGCAGAAATAAAACGAGAATAGATAAATTTAGTAATATTAAGAGACCCTTATTTATTAAATCATTCTGTTTACAATTTGGGCTACCTTATGTAAACATTGCAGATATGCAATTGAATAATTGGCAGGTTGAAGATATTATTGAAGCACTCATTGGTGGCTTTTGATGGTGCTATCAACCAAGAGTTGGTCTGTTGTAGCAGCCAGAAGATCATTGAACAGAAACAATAACAATTAAGAAAGCAGAGAAAAAAAGGCCGGCATGTTGTCGTCCATGCTACTCGTGCAGTTTATTGTTTGACTGTTCTAAAACTGATACGGTGTTAATTGGAATTTTTTATTTTTCAACGACAAACAATATTCGCCTTCGAAGCTGTCCAGCAAAATTTCGCCACTGTTCGAGTTGTATATTCT